AAGTATCATAAAAAGTTCTGTGCGTATTTAGTTTTAAAGGTAAACCTGCTGACTAAACCATCAAGCCACATGTACTACTGGCCTTTAACAACACAAGCTTACAAGCATTATTCTCACTACTCCCTCTCCATATTTGCCACATCACTGTCGTCTTCAACCAAGTCTGTTTTCAGAAGGGTTTCTTCTCACATGTCTATACAGACTAGGCCAAAGTTCAAACGCCAAAAATTTCAAGGCCAAAATCTCTAGACCAAAGACATTTCAATATGAACTTTACTGTCCAAATTCAACTGAAGCCTAGACACTTTGTCCAAAACTCCACTATCTCAGTCAATCTGATGCATAACAAAGAATCGCATTGCATCTTTGACCTGCAAAGCAGGCTGACAACCCCCAAAGGAACAAAAAAGGCAACATTCTGATATTATTTTGAAAAGAGCAAAGGTTTAGGCATCTCTGCTCTGGACTACTTCCAGCAGCATTTTAGCCATACCTAGGCAAAAAGATTTTCTGTCTTGAAAGGTCCAAAGCTACTACCAGTTTGGAGACAGATTTGCAAGCATCTTAAGAAAGGGAGCCTAGATATAAAGTGGCACTTGGTCACTCCTTACAAGGAGGGGAATTTGCTCCCTTACATTAAACTGACCTGCGTGAAACAACCAGCCCCTGGAAAGACCAAGTTTTTCAATACACTGACACTCACCTACTGTACTGTGGGAACAGCTGACTGGGGTTTTCCTCACCCTATGTATAACGTCAGCTCTGCATAACAACTAAACAATCAGCTCCTTCTGATAAAGACATCTGTCTTAAGCAACTAATTAACATCCCCAAGTAACATCTAGAAGGCTGAAGGGGGCCTGGTCAGGCCATTTTACTTTGGACACACAAAGCTCGGGTAAGCTTATCAGCAGGTTAGACGATTTGCCCCAAGTGCCAGTCCCCCAAGATTCGAAGGGCACCGTGATTCCCACTGTTACTATAACCTCTGCACGATGCCCCTGGAGCAGCTCCTAGACACCAAGAAGCAGCTCCTGGAGTACTGCAGACCTCAGATGCCTTGTTAATATCACAGTAATTGGCATATTGGCAATAAGTTATTTTGATTTCAGGAATGCACCAAGTATCCACACAGAAGTTGGTCAGGATACTACTGTTTGCCAGAGTGATTTACTTGCACAGTAATTACAAATTCTCATTATGGTCCCAGTCCCACAACCACTTCAAAACATTTAAGCTCTTCCCTTTTGGCCCTAGTATCAAGCCTTTTCATATACTGCTGCCATGCACTGCCAGTTAGCTTTACATAAAATATTCAGATGACAAGACTTAATTCTTTTTTTTTTTTTTTAAAGGACAAAAAAAAAAAAGAAACAAACCCAAAACAGGAGGACTCCGGAGACCTTGCTGAACGAAGATAAGACATTGCTTGTCCCACTGGAGGAAGTTAATGCAGGATGAGCATTACAGTATAGTACAAAACGACTTAGAAGTGGCCTGCCCCTCCACCTTCTGTGCTTTGGTTATTTTAGGAGTGGACAATTACATCAACACTAACTTTCTGATAAAAAATTCTGCGCACATCAATTTCTACTACACAAGCATGTACTTTATGTAAAATATGAATAGCTTACAGATGGAATAAGAGCAAATTAACACTTACAGCGTAAATAGGATTTCATCCAATATTCCTTCCATGACAACAAGACTACAGAGCAGCAGATGTCTCAAGTTATTCGGGCAAAAATAATTCCTGAATTCACAGTTTCCTTGTATCGATCACTTACAGATACACAAGCGAGTGATTAGAAACTGGTCCCTACTTCAAGAACAATTCCGTAATTGTTGATGGCTGTTTAAAGTCCTACCAATAAATGCCTTAACCATAAGGCTAGGGAAAATGCACATCATGCCCTACTTGCTGAACCCAATTGTTCACCTTACAGGACATCTATTAACGCTCTCAACCATTACCTGTCCATATTGGGTGCATTGTAAACAAATATGATCTATTTATTTCACAATATGGAATTAAAAAAACAACAACACATTAGAACACTTTCACAGGGCAAGACACTTTTTAGAACTATTCACGTGTAGATGCACAACTATAGCATAGATACACTCACAAGTAGTATAACATTTATCGCATGCTAGAATAAGAA